CGATGCTGGGCTCGATCCCAGGACCCTGGGATCACGACTTGAGCCGAAGGCAGACGCTTAACGACTGAGCCACCCAGGGACCTACAAACCACGACCTGAATATTATCGTGGGTGACGTTAGCGACAGCTTCACCTTGCTCCCTCTTCCCGACCCATTTCACCCATGGAGAAACTGAGGCTCAGAGCGCCCCAGGCTGCACAGCCAGCTGGGGATGCGGGGTGTGGTGCGGAGCCAGGGCAGCCCCGGATCCGCGAGACGTTTGTGCGCAGACGGTGTGACCCTCCCCCCAACCCCCACCCGAAGGCACATGGGCAACTGCCCCCTTCCCCCACCAGCCCTCCCGGAGTGTTTTTCTTCCCTCCTCCTGGGTGTTTTGGTTTCGGCAGGAGCGGCCCCGCGGTAGCAGGCGGTTCCCGCCGGCAGGGTCAGCCCAGGGCGGGCGGGAAGCCAGGAGCAGCTCCCGGCCAGGGTGGGGAGGACTCAGGGCGCGCGACCCACGCCCTCGCCCCAGCACGGGGGCCAGCAAGTGCCGTCTCCCCCCACCCCCACCCCGCCCGGGTCTTGCTTGGTCCACCGGGACAGTGGGGCCCAGCGCGGTCGCGACCCCCACGCGTGGCCACAGGGGGCGCCAAGGGGCGGATGGTTCCGGGCGGGGTTTCCCACGTCGGTGCCAAGGTTCCGTGCACTCCGTTCGTTATGAAACATTGATGGAGGCGGCTGGGTGCCTGCCCGGGAGGCCTCCTGCTTGGGGGACTAGGGCGCAGATGCCCCAACGCCAGTGGGAGGGGCGTTGCGGACCAGAGGGAGGCGCCGGGGGCAGAAGGATGGGAGAGATGCGCGAAGACCAGGCGCATTCTCGGGTATGACACCTAATCACGAGCAACCAAAGGAACACGTAAGTTGGTCTCCATCAAATTAAAAAAAAAATGTTTTTTTTCTACAAGGACACTCTTAAGACAGTGAAGAGGTAACCCACAGAGTGGGAGAAAATATTTACAAATCTTCTGACAAGGGATCAATATCCAGACTACATAAAGACCTCTTAGGACTCAATAATAAAAAGATAAATAACCCAATTAAAAATAAGGAAAGGATTCAAATAGAGATTTCTCCAAAGATATAATAAATGACCAATAAGCACATGAAAAGGTGTTCAACACCAGCAGTCCTCAGGGAAAGGCAAATCAAACCAGAGTGAGATACCACCTCACCCTAGGATGGCTCCCCGCCCCCCAAGTGGGAAATAACAGGTATTGATGAAGATGTGGGGAAATCTGAACCCTCACACATTGCTGATGGGAATCGGCAGCACCTCGAGAAGGAAAGTTAAACATAGAATTACCCTATGACCCAACATTTGTACTCCTAGGCAGACACTAAGAAAATTGAAAACAGGTGTTCACACCAAAGCCTGTAAACCATACTCACAGCAGCGGAAGCGACTGCTCACAATCTCCAGAAGGTGGAACCCCGTGGGGTGCCCATCAAGGAATGAATGAAGAAATAAACAGCGATCCATCCACACAGTGGAATATTATTCAGCCATAAAAAGGAATGAGGTTCTGATTCATGCTACAACGGGGATGAACTTCAAAAACATCATGCTGTTTCTTCCACAAAAGAACAGACACAAAAGGCCATGTGCTGTGTGATCCCCTGGATAGGAAATCAACAGGCCCATCCATAGAAACAGAAAGCAGATTGGTGGTTGCCAGGGACTGGGGGAGGTGGGAGGGGGAGTGACTGCTTGTGGGCCCAGGGGTTCCTTTTGAGGTGATGAAAATGTTCTGGAACTAGACAAAGGTGGTGGTTGCACAACATGGTGAATGCATCAAATGCTACGGAATTGTTCACTTTGCAAGGGTGATTTGTATGGTATGTGGATATCTCTAAAAAAAAAAAAACCACGGAAAAACAAAAAAGGAGGAATGAACAAAGGCGCACAGTTGAGGGCAGGGCATCCCTGTCATCTGCAGGGCTCCGGCAGTTACGTGTGAGACGCCAGGCCATGGCTGTCCTGTGTGCCATCTCCCACAGCCCAGGGTCCCCAGGGGCCGCTGATACCGCAGCCCCATCCTGGCTCGAGGGCAGAGACAGAGACAATGTTTCTGACCAAACCCAGAGGCCACTGGAGAAATAGAGGAGGGAGGTATCTGGGGAGGTAAACTGAGGCAGCCTCTCTCTCTGATAAGACTTAAGAGAGATAGAGACAGAGGAGAGGGAGTGAGAAGGGGCCAAGGGCTCTGGAGAGGCCTCCTTATCCATTTTACAGACCAGAACCCTGAGGCCAGTAAGGCTGAGTCCTGCTCCTGTGAACAGCAGCGGGAAGAATCTTTGAACAACTCACAAATTGGGCCTCAACAATCCTGCTCCTGGAGCCCCCCCCCCCCCGCCAGCCTAGGAATAAACTCCCTCGGCCCCAAGAGTGACCTCTATCCCCCTGGCTCACTCACTCCCCCTTCAACCACATCTGCCTCAGGGCCTTTGCTCTCTCGTTTTGCTGGCCTCCCCTCACCATCTTGATATCACCCCCTCCAGGAAGCTCTCTCTCACCCACTGTTCACACTTTCGCTCGTCACTCTCTCGGGGTTATTGGTGATTAGATTAGCGTCTGCCTTCCTCACCCCACCAGAAGCCCCTCATGACAGAACTGATTCCGACCTGTATAGGACAGGGCTTGGCATACAGTAGGTGCTCAACACTGACTTCACAAATCAAGGAATGAATACAGATGTGAAATGGGGTCTACTACAGTCCTGACTCCTGGAACTTCTGGGAGGAGCTGAGGGAAGGACATTCAGAGGGCCCTAGAGTAATGAGTACACAGCGGGTGCTCAAAAAACGTGGGGCCAGGGCTCCGCTAAGCAGGGTTGCTCAACCCTTTGAGGTAGGGACCCCAAACCAGTGCTCTGAACCCCTTCCTATTATATAGAGAGGCAAACAGAGACCCAGAAGGGTATCTCCTGGATATATATATATATATATATATATATACATATATATGGTGGGCTTCAGGCATGGCTGGATCCAGGGACAAGGGAGCCATCTGTTTGGGCTGCTGTCCTCCCTGAAAGCTTCTTTCCCAAGGCAGTTTCAGCCTCCCCGCCGCCCAAGTGGAAGCAAGGTGTCTATCTTTCCCATTCACAACAGCAAGAGTTCCAGATGGTGCTCAATAAATGTCTATCTCCTACTCCTTGAACCCAGGGGGCTGTGCCTAGGTGTGGGTTTGTTAACTTCAGGGGCCACCAAACAGGGTTCTGTTGTTCTGTGTGGGCCCAGGACTGGGGCAGCCTACGTGGGGGCTTTTAGCTTTCCTGGAGGTTTTACAGGGGCGGTAGGGGTGGGTGTGGGGTCCTGGACTTGAGGGGGTAGCTCTGAGCCGGGGGCTTTTTTACTCCGGTCTTTTTTACGAGGCCGCTGACCCAGCATCCGTTCCTGTCTGCCCACTTGGTCCTGCCACCAAAAAATGAGAACTGATTCTCAAGGGAAGGCCTGCCTGGCAGGGAGGTGGCAAATTCAAGGAAGGGAGCATGCGCGGAACAGGGAGCAGTCACTAGGGCCAAGGCTTCTGTCTCCCCGTCTAGATGCATATATGGGAAACTGGGGCCCCCCCCAAAGGGGCGGGGCCTGGACCTCTAGTCTCCCAGCCTGTGGGGCCAGACCCCTCTCACCCAGAGGCTTCAGGTCCTTTTGCCACAACCCAGTGGTTCTGGGTTCTAATCTCCAACCCTCCCTCCCCCTCCCGCCCCCACTTAACACCGGAAAAGTCTGTTTTGCAAACTCCGCAGCAGGCGGCGGGCGGGGGGGGGGGCGGTTTCCCCCGCACCCCGTCTAGGTTTGGGAGACGCGTGTTGCTGTTGCCACCTGGTGGCCACGGGGGGAATCCGAGACGACTCGTTTAACAATGGGGGGAGGGAGGGGAGGGAGGGGACAGGAGAAGGGCAGATTCCGGGTGTGAATGGGGGGGCACGCGTTCCTGCTGTGGGGCGTTGGGTGTCAGGAGAAAGGGGGAACCCCAATTCCCGAACTGAGCCCTGGGCGGAGAACCGATGGATCACTAAGAGGGGCGGAGCTGGGGGAAGAACCAAGGCTCCTGTTTTGGGGGGGACCAAATCCCACTCCCCCTCGGGCCTTCGCTTCCCTTGCCCCGTCCTGACTCTGCAGAGCTCCGAGTGATCATCCCGTTCTGTTTCCCCCAGACCGGGTGCTCCTGAGGGCGCCCAGAGGGAGAGATGAATAAATGCGTGTGGAATGAATGAATGAACGCCCCTACTGGGGAGTTTTGAACAGTCCGTGCAGGCTTCAGCCAGGGGAGAGTTACCCAACAGAAGGCCCATTTATTAAGCCGTAGACCCCTCTTGACAGACCTGCGAGTTCAATATTATCCTCACCCCCATTCTACGGGGGAGGAGACTGAGGCTGAGGAGGGGCCAGCACCTCCCTCAGAACGCTTAAGGCCCCACTTGTTTTCCCACGACTAGATCCTCCTCCGGGGCTGGACCCTGCAGTGCAGCAGGAGGGACTCCCCGTCAAGAGCTCCTGGGACACAACATCCAGCCTAGGGTCCTGGGATCGGCATGAGCCCCCTCTGGGCCCCCCTCCAATCTATTCTACCCTGAAAAGTTCTGTCCCTTCTCCATGGGTGTCAGGGGGTGTGGCAGCTTCCTTTTCATGGTGGTTCCTAGAGTTCCCACCACGGGCCTGGCGCAACCTGTGCTGGCCGGAGGGGAGGGGCCGGGACGGGGAAATGGGGTCACTCGGCCCAGGTTTGACTCCTGCCTGTGCTACGCTAGCTTCAGGCTAGCCACGTGCTCTCTCTGAGCCTCGGTGGTCATATCTGTAAAATAGAATAGCCATGTACCTCTTGAGGTGGTTACGGGGAATCAGGACATCACGTGAGTGTCTAGACGGAACAGGCTGGGTATGCAATGTTTGCTTAATAATCAGCCGCCTTCCATCTTTCTGCCTGAAGGAGGAGGCCGACTTTCCCCTCTCTCCCTCAGGCCTCCAGGCCCACATGCGAAGGGCCACTGAATATGGGGGTCTGTATCAGGTCTCCCAAGGGCGGTGAGAGTCCAGCCACCTGGGCAGGGTTGCCCTCCAGACCCTCCTGCCTGCCCGGCCCCAGAGCCCGAGACTCGGGGTGGCTTTGCACCTGTCTCCTGTCCTCCGGGGGCAGCTCTGTGTCCAAGGCCAGTTCAGGAGTGCCCCGAAGCAGCTGTGTCTTCACCTCCCCAGCAGGTGTGTCCAGGTCAGTTCCCTCACCTTTTTCCCAGGACATGTTCACCACCAAGGCCTCTTTCAGGGACACCTCCTCTGGGAAGTCTGCGGGGCTTGTCCACTGCCAAGCCTAGATAGGAAGGGTGGGACCAAGGCTAAGGGCAGGGCCCTATTTTCCAACCACATAGGGGGCAGATCAGGTTCCTGCTGGCTTAACTCCCTAAAATCCTGAGACCAATTTGAGGATCAGCTCTGCCTCAATGACACTCCCCCTTCAGCCCCTTTTAGGAAGCCCCCCTACCCCCACCCTCACACACACCCCATTTCTCTTCGGGAAATTATTGCTCCTCTTCTCACTGTTGATGTGGTTGGGCACTGGCCCCACCACAAGTTGAGTGATGGACATGTGACCTGGCCCACCCAAGCAGAGCACTCTAGCCCCTGATACCCACAATAGGCTCATGGATAAGCATGTGACCTGCGCTAGGCCTATCGGTGATGGCCCTGAAACTTTTGCTAAAGTGAACGGGGAAAATGGACACCCTTCTTCCACTGGGGAAAGGCTGAGCCTGAGTGGGAGGGAAGCCTGCGGGCAGAACAGCAGTCCAGACAAATGGATGCCCAGTCTCTGGATTCCTAGACCTAGCCATGCCTGAAGCCCACCATCTGGGGAATCCACCCCCCCATCCCCCATCAGGTTCCTGTTTTGTTGAAGCCACTTTGGGTTGTTTCTACTGCTAGGAAATGACCCACAGGAGGTTGCTCTCTGGGCCTCTGCTTGCCTATCTGTGAAACAGGACAGGTTTTTGGAGTCCCTGTGTCAGTGGTTAGGGGAGAATAAAATGAGTTAATGCATGGCCATTACTCTTGCCCAGAATATAGACCCAAGAAATAGGACTTTAAATTAGAAAAGGAGCCCTTACCTGCTTGCCCTGGCTGCTAGGGAACTCGACCACAGTGCTGGCGCAGGGTGTGGGCAGGGGTGGGCACAGGTGCCGCGCAGCCCTGGGGAGGGAAGGAAGCTGGTCAGAGGAGCAGTGTTTTCTCTCTGTTCTTACTTTTTAATTGTTCTGACTTACTCTTTTCATCTCTGCTAGGTTATAAAGGGAGAATGGATGTGGATTGGGGGTGGGGGGTGCGGGAGTCTGACAGACCTGGGTTCAAATCCCAGCTCTACCCCCACTACAGGATACCTTGGGCCTGACTCTCTGGGCCTCAGTTTCCTCATCTGTAAACTGGGCACAAATACCGACTCGGTGTGAGCAGTGACTATGATCACTATTGCCATTACGGATCATCTCGGGGGGGATGGTGCAAATTACCTGTTCAGGCTGAGGTACCCAATGACGCCCAGGAGAAGGATGCTGGCGAAGCTCCCCAGAGATACGAGGAGTATGGACAAATCGAACAACCGGGAAACCTGGACTTCTGGGAGTGGGAGAGGTTGAGTTGGGGGAGGGACACTTGCTGCGTCTCACAGGGAAGGGAGCTGGGAGGGCTGGACCCTCCAGCAACTCGCTGCTGACCATGGCACGCCATGGGTCCCTCTGTGCCTGGCTCCTCATGTGTGAAGCAGGAGGCCAGGGAACCCACTTGCCCCGCGTCTGCAGGATAAAGGCCTGGCACACAGGGCTCAGGACACTGTAGCTCCACGTGCCCACAGGTTGTGCTCACGTGATTGCTCCCCTGGACCCAGACCTGCCACCCCACGCCCAGCCTGACTCACTGGTTCTCTTGAGACCAGACTGCTCTATAAGGGCAAGAGGAAAGGACCATGGCAGGAACAGGGATCATTTGGTTTCCAAATATCTTCCGGCCACACACCCCAAGACAGCGGAGCCTGCCTCCTTATCTTTGTGACAAAAGAGACACTCATTCATTCATATTCATTCATTCATTCATTCATTCATTCAACAAATGGCCCCCAGCCCCCTCCCCCTCCCCTGGAGCCCCCAGGCTGGGGGAACAGAGCCTGGACACAGACACCCTCACCCACTCCCAAGGTGGCAGGCCAGGAAGGAAGGAGTGTCACAACTAGGGGCGGGCACCCAGGGGAAAGCATGGAAGGCTCCCTGGAGGAGGAGGCTTTTGAGCTGAGTTTTAAGGATGAATAGGAGTTAGCGGGGAGAACAAACATCCCAGGCAGAGGGGCCTGCATGGGTAAGGCAATGGGGGTGTGAGGGAAGGTCCGTGAGGGGAAACTGCCCAAGTAGGGGGGAGCAGAGTGGGCTGGGACTTTCTTCTGTGGGAGATACATGGGGAGCAGGGCCAGGGTGGGGCTGCTTGTGGAGGCTTGGGGTGGGGCAGTGCATGCTGGGTACATACCCAGGCCCTGCTCTCCTACTCACCAATGCTGAATGGCTGGGGCTGGCTCCAGGCGCCCTGCAGCGTCGCCGTGTCTGCACGAACCTGCACGGTGTAGGCTGTGCCAGCCCGAAGGCCACCAAGGGTGACCTGGGTCTCTGTGGGCTTCACGGGCAGCTCTGTGGGAGGGAGGCAGCCCTGGGTCCCCAGACTTCCTTTACTCCCAGGAGGCCAGGCTCAGGGGTGGGATGCCCAAGTCCTGGCTGGGCAGCCACACCCTGGGAGTGGTAGTGGAGACTCAAGCACATTTTGCTAAAAATTCTTTTGTTTTTTTAATTTAAGATTTATTTTAGAGAGAGAGCAAGAGCACGAGCGGGAGGGGCAGAGAGAGAGGGAGAGAGAATCTCAAGCAGACTCCACGCTGAGCGTGGAGCCTGAGGCAGGGCTCAATCTCATGACCCTGAGATCACCACCTAAGCTGAAACCAAGAGTGGGACACTTAACTGACTGCACCAGCCAGGCGCCCCTGCTGAAAACTCCAAATGCACCCATTCACCTCAGCTTATTTGGAAGAATATTCTTCCCCAAGCTATTTCATGAATGATGCTGTCTTTCTCAAATTCTGACCTCTGCTGGCTCCTTGCTCACTTCCGGACCCAGCCCCATTGTCCAAGCTCCCTAAAGGTTCAGTTGCACCTCAGGGCCTTTGCACTGGCAGTCCCGCCTCCTCTACCTTGCTCAACCTTTCCCCAGATATCCCCATGGTTTCCTCCCTCTCCTCCTTCCCGTCTTTAGGGTGAAGATCAGCATTAACTTTGCCTATCTTGCTTCCTCAGTGTCCCTACAACCTCAGCACACAGCAGGACCTCAGCACACGCCGTGGAATTGGATGGCTTTAACAAATAAAGCTCTCCGTAAAAATCCTTAAAATGAGAATAGAGTTGTTGGCTGTTATCAAGAAGAAAACAATTCCTAGAACCCTAAGTCTATATTATTGGTATATACATATATTCAAGAAGAATATTCTTCAAAAGAAATTGGAGCGGGGGGAGGGGGATTGGTCAATTTGGCCAATGGGCATTTGGTGCATTCATCTTCAGCATTTTGACTTTCGGCAAATTGGTAAAAGGGCTGCTTCCAGCTGCACCACCCTGAATAAGACACTGAACCCCACTTGGCCTCCTTTGCCCCCTCTAAACAATGGTTGATCAAGAGGATGGCAGGATGTCTGTGTCTCTGATGCTAGAAGATCCCCCCCAGCAAGCCCCCCCCCGCCCCCGCCGGCATTCATGCCTTGATGGGTGCTGGCTGCTGGGTGAGAAGGCAGAGACACGAAGAGGCAGGTCTTGCTGGCCCGGCCTGTTGCTGCAGGAGGTGGCTGGGTGAGGCCGTATCTGAAAGACCGTGTTCCCGGCATGGAAGGTGGGGCCCCCAGTGTGTGAAACGGCAGGAAACCCCAGCACTGGTGAGACTTGCCCTGTACGTTTTGCTTTCTTTCCCTCCCAAGGGGCAGGAAGGGGCACCTGACTGAGCCCAAATCCAGGCTTGCTTAACCCTTGGGCAGGAATCCCTCTCCAGGCCTCAGTTTCCCCATCTGTGAAATGGACACCATCATCCCGCTCCATGGAAGTCGAGTTGCCGATTCGCAAGGGGTTGCCATCCATACACGGAGTCCATCATGAGCCCATAGCTGCTGCCCACTGGGCCCTCCTGGGGGTCTGGAAAGGGCAGTCCGGCCTCTCTGAGTCGAACAACCTTGTTTTATGGGTGGGAAAACCAAGGCCCAGAGAGGGCCAGTGAGGTGCTCAGGGTCCCCTAGCAAGGCAGACGTCGGCCCCAGGCCCCTTCTTAACCCCGCCCAGCGCGCGCTGCCTCACGTACCAGACGTGAGGTTTTCCTCCTCATCCTGGTAGCGCACGACGTACTCCTTCAGGACCCCCGGGCATGTGCTCAGCGGGGATGGTGTCCAGTCCACAGACACGGAGTCCTGGCTGAGCTTCTTCACCAACACGTGTTGTGGGCGTCCGGCCCCCGAGGCTGCAACTAGCACCATCGCCATGGTCAATTCCAAGAGCACCGGCTGAACGTTTCCTGCCTGCCCAGCCTGGCACTGTCCAGAGACCCAGGGAAGCTTGGCGACAGAGTCAGGCGGGCCTGGGTTTCAATCCCGGCTCCATGACTCGGGCCCCATCGCTGCCCCTCTCTGAGACTCACTTTTCTTATCTATGAAATGGGGCAATGCCGCTCGGGGCGGGGAGTCTTTGGGATCCCCTGGGACTTCTGCACGTCTGGCTTCTGGCCAAGGCCTGACCCAGAGTAAGTGCCTCTAAGTGTTCGTTCCCTCCTCCCGACACCCAAGGCCACCATCAAGCCCTCCAGAGAGACCACCTTGCAGGTGTGGGCTACTCACCATTGCCCCCAAAGTGGTAGGTGGACAAGACCGTGGACCACGAGATGGGCTTCTCTGGGCGTGGAGAGGCAAAGATCATGATGTGGTAACACACCTTCTGCTCCATTGCCCCAGATCCTCTGCTCCAGCTGTAGGTTGCTAGAAGGATTGACAAGGCCCAGGCTGGTAAATAGGTTGTATCACCACCTCCGCCTCTTTGCACTGGCTGTACCGCATGCCAGGAACTCCTAGAGCACTCCTGCTCATGCTTCAAAGCCCTTGCACCAATGTCCCCTCTTCCAGGATCCCTTCCTTATTCTCCCCATAGCCCATCTCCCACCTGCAGCCCAGCCCGGACTGTACGGGGCCAGGTGCATCTGGATCCAGCTCTTGTCTCCCTAGTCTAGGAGCCCCTCAAGGGCCAGGCTGAGGCTGAGGTTTACGGGGGCCCTGGCCAGGCCCAGGGTAGGAAGTGGGAGAGTGAGAGGCTGCCGGGGCTCTAAGGTTCCCCCTTTTTCTCCAGAGGCCTCATTAATTTGCCACCAGCATCTTGTGAGCTGCCACCTTCTTTGGCACAGGTGGCTGTTTAACAAACACCCTGGGATGTGACACTCATTACCTCTTGGGGTGCAATCTGCCCGGGGCTATAAGCCCTGACACCTCAGGATACTGGCAGGAGGCTTCAGACCCACATGGGTGGCAGGGTCCAAGCCTCAGCCTGTTCCCACCTCTGTGTGACCTTGGGCAAGGAGCAAGACCGCTCTGGGCCTCAGGCACCTCACACGCATGGCCCCTGTAGGTTGGCGCCAACCGGGGGCTCTAAGGGAGGAGGCAGAGGCGGGGTGACTGACGTTACGGTACCCATTCCGGTAGGGTCCGGGTCCTGGGGCAGAGTCAGTGTGCAGTTGGTAAGGTTCCTGTCCTGGCCCTGGGGCTGCCACTCAATGCAATATGCCTTGGCCCCGGCCTGGGCTGGCCAGTGCATGGTGGTCCCATTGGCTCCCACACTGATATTCAGGGCCCCTGGTTCTGGAAGGAGATGAGAGAGGCATATCAGAAGAGCAGCTCCACTCCCCTCCCCCGCCCCCCCATCCCGCCGGTCCAAGGCTCCTATAGCCCCATCCCACCCTCTCGCCAAACTCTAACCGCACAGGGCTGCGAGTTTCTGTATCTAGCTCCGTCTCCTCAATACCAGGGGCTGCCGGGCTGGGGACCAGGCACAGAGGCAGGGTTAGGCTAGCAAGGGCGGTTTGAATGAGGTAGGTCTGACCGTGAGTTCCCTGCCAAAACACCCACCATCAGTGCTGCCTGTACCGCACCCCCCCACCCCACCAGCCTGGGGGGGCTTCTCCTGCTCTAGCAGATGCCCGGCCCCCCACCACCTGCCTCCCCCAGTGGCAGTGGGTCTGGGGCAGGATGGGCCTCCCAGGCCGGAGGGCACACCCACTCGGTCCCCAGGGGCTCTCTCCCCACTCCCTCCGGCAAGGGCATCAGCGACAACCTCAGGGAGGCGGGCACTGTTTCCAACTCCAGCGACAACAACTACCATTTACTGAGCACCAGCTGTATGCGCCAGGCCAGTGCTGAGTGCTTGACGGGCGCCACTCTGCTACAAAGTGGGACCGTGAGCACCCCAATCATACAGAAACTGAGGCTCAGAGAGGGAGAGCCACTGGCGCACGGTCACACAGTGGGGCCATGACCCAAACCAGGCCAGGAGCTGACAGACTCGCGGCTGTGCCACCATGACAAGGGGCTTTCCCTCTCTGAGCCTCAGCGGTCTTATCTCTGAAATGGGCATCACTGTACCAGCCCTGTCCTCACAGGACTGCTGGGTGCTCGGTAGGCCCAGGACCAGGGTGAGGTGAGTGAGGCACGCATCAGGCACAAAACTGGAGGCACCAAAGAACTCAGTCATCATGATAAACACTGTTTCGATGCAATATTTTTTAAGAATCAAAAAATGAATGCAAAAATATGTGGTGAGCGCTCTTCCTAATCGCCGAAAGGTGGAAAAAGCCCAAATGTTCATTAATGGATAAACAGATAAACACCACGTGGTCCATCCGCACAGTGCAACATTACTCAGCCACGAAAAGGAAGTGAAGCCCTGACACACGCTACAACATGGGGGAACCTCAAAAACATGTTGCTGGGTGAGAGAAGCCGGTCACAAAAGGCCACAGTGTGTGTGATCCCATGTATATGGAACGTCCAGAACGGGCAAATCCATAGAGACAGAAAACAGGTTAGTGGGTGCCAGGGGCTGGGGTAAGGGACAGGGGGTGATGGCTGATGGGCATGGGGTCTCCTTTTAGGGATGATAGAAATGTTCTAGAACTAGACAGAGGTGATGGTTGCCCATCATTGTGAATGTCCGGAATGCCACTGAATCGTACCTACTAAAGTGGTTAATGTTGCTATGTGAATTTCACCTCAATAACATATGTATATGTATTCACGTGCATGTATACATAAATGTAAGTCTTGATTTTTTCCTCATATCTATAAATACAGGTACATCTTTAAGCATGTCTATACATATACATAACAAGCAAATATCAAGATTTTAAATGAAGATAGGATCAATCGTGCACTTGCGCCATCCGGCCTCACTCACCACACCCTGATCCCCGCCCTGGTCCCAGAAAACTTTATTTACAAAGACAGGTGGTTGGCCTGGGCTGTAGTTTGCCAGCTAGAGTTTTTTTTTAAACATTGCATTTTAACAGTATGTACCCTAATTAGTGATTTTGACACGTTCCTAAATTAGACACCTGTTTGATTTTTGTGCCTCACCTGCCTCACCCTAGTCTAGCGGAGGCTCAGAGTAAGTGCTGAGCTCTGAGAGGCCCTCCCGCAACCCTCCCCAGCCAGAGGAGGCACCTGTGTGGGTGTGGGTTTGGGCAGGAATGTGCCACGTCTGGTTGGGGCCAGGGCCGAAGCGATTCTGGGAGACAACAGCCAGGTCATAGGCCGCGCCAGAGAGGTTGAGTGGTTTCCTCAGCTGAAAGGTCATTGTGGACTTGGTCTTACACGTGCAGGACAGCATGTGCAGGCGGGCACGGTAGGTCACCTCCCCGCCAGAGTTGGACCCGAGGCAGCCTTCTGGAAGCTCAAGCTGGGGCAGCTGTCGTGAATGTAAGAGATGGTTTGTGGAGACCTGAACACAGTCATCATGCCCATGGGCCAACATCAGGGTGCAGCCCCTGAACAGACTCATCCATGGACCACAGTCTGTGACGTGAGCCAAAAGTTTTTAAAAAACAAACAAAACAAAACAAAACAAAACCCGCGGTGCTGGCGAGGCTGCTGGAAAATAGGCATTCATGGCCAGTGCATGTTGGCTCGGAGGGAAAATAATTTGGCAAAACCTACGGAGAGCCAGGAAAAAAAATGTTTTTTCTGTCTTTGGACCCAGTTACCTCAAGCCTGGAAATGTTTCCTAAGAAGGGAATTCAAATGAGAGGAAAGGCAGGAAGTAAAGCTTTACTGCAGCCTTACTGTGCCAGCCCATTAGGGACCTGGCCAAGTTAGTTATGGTAAAGCCAGTGGGTGAAACATCTGATGGTTTTGCCCCTGACTTGGGCAAGAAATTTTCCCTCTGTGCCTCAGTTTCCTTCTTTGTAAAACGGGGGTTAATTAGACTGCTCTTAATGTGTTGTTTGGGGATTTCAAAGAAATTATCTCCCACCCAAACCAACATGGCCCACCCCGGCCTGCCTCCTTCCACCCTAGCCCCTCACAGTCTGTTCCCCCCCAATGGCAGCCAGGGGACGTCTGTGAACACCTGAACCCAGTCATATTTCTCTGCTCACACACCTTCCGTTGCTCCCCATTAACTGCAGATTTAAACGCACCATCCTTGGAGTCCTTGCCACCTCCACGTCCCTTCCCTCACCATATCCCACTTGCACACCCCGACTCCAGCCTCTTGTCTCCTTCTCCCCAGCCCCGGCCACCCCACAGCGTTGTGACGGCCCATTACCTGCCCGTGCAGGGTCACCTGCCTCCTCCCATGTGGACGGAGCGCCTCCACCGAGAACCTCAAGGTGGGCTTTGGGGGATGTTCTGCAATGGGGTGGCAAGACAGTGACGCTGGGGGTGGTCCCTTGCTCACCGCCACCTCCCGCAGACCCCGCACGGGGACCCAGGACCTTTTCCTCCCCTCCCTTGAAACACAGGATTCCCATGGGTCGTTAAATAGTTTTCAAAATCGGAAACATGGAGATCTAGTCTACGACACCGTGACTTTACTTAACTCCATAAAACTGTACACTTTAGAGGCGCCTGGGTGGCTCAGTCAGATAGGCATTGGACTCTTGATTTCAGCTCAGGTCACGGTCTTCAGGTTGTGGGATCGGGCTCCAGGCTTGATGGGGAGGCTGCTGGAGATTCTCTCTCTCCCTCTCCCTCTGCCCCTCCCCCTGCTATGCGTGTGCATTCTCTCTCAAATAAATAAATAAGGTCTTAAAAAAAAACCCTACACTTTAAAATGATTAACATGGAACATTTTTTTTTTAAGATTTTATTTATTTATTTGAGAGAGAGAGAATGAGAGATAGAGAGCACGAGAAGGAAGAGGGGCAGCGGGAGAAGCAGACTCCCCGCTGAGCAGGGAGCCCAATGCGGGCCTCGATCCCAGGACCCTGGGATCATGACCTGAGCCGAAGGCAGACGCTTAACCGACTGAGCCACCCAGGAGCCCTGCCCTGCCACCTTTTACTAATTACTACGAATTTCTCCCTCTGCCTTATTTTCAACACCCGCCACCTTATTTCTAATCCCCACTGCTGTATTTCTAATGCCTGCCCCGTTCCTGTGGCTCTGAGTGTTCTCACCAGGGGGGACACACACGGGGCTGCTCCAGCTGCTCCATGGGTCTCCTGGGGCTCCCGGCCTGAGTCGCCGCCTGCGTAGCTGGAATTCCTGGGCTGCGTCCGTCCGCAAGGGGCAGAGGCAGGACTCTGGCGGGGAAATAGGTCAAACATCAAGCTGAAGGGCTGTCCCATACCTGGGGGTGCCTGGGACTTGGCACTCGTCATTTAGCCATCATACACTTATTGAGTGCCAACTGTGTGCTGGCCCCTTGGGCCACCATGGGAATAGGCCAGGCCCCGTCCTCTTGGGTGGCCTCAAGATCTCCCATTCTTGCCCCGGCCCTAGGTCGGAGTCGAGGCTGGGCCAACCCATTGGGATGCGACCCTGATCAATGAATGGCTTCTCACCCCCAAGGCTGTTTCCTCACCTGTGAAATGGGAATAATCCAATACTGAACTACAGGGCGGGCCAGCAAGCATACAAAGAATTTAGCACTGGGCCTGGCATACAGTGGGTGCTCAATTAATGCTAGCATGCTGCCGCTGTTGTTGGTACTATTATTCTCACCGAAGCCAGCATCCTCCTGACGTCCGCAGTTGCCCTAGGACCAGATCATACATATGTGTATGTAGTTTTACTTTTGGTAAAAGGTAAAAAAATATTTGAAAAAAATATTAGCTCTTTAACCATTTTAAACAATTATTCTAAGCGCAATGTGGGAGCTTGGATTAGATCCAGGAACAGAAAGAGGACATTTGTTTAAAAAAAAGACAAAAAAAAAGAGGACATGCGTGGAAAAACGGGGGATATCTGCATAATCTCTGGTTTAGTGCCTAGCAACATTCCAATGTTCGTCTCAGTTGTGGACAGACGCACTCAAGAACGTAAGATGTTCGCATGTGGGGAGGCTGGGGGCCGTTTCTAGGCGAGCTGCTACTTCCTTGGAACTTTTCTGAAAATCTAAGATTATTCCCAAAGTAAAAGTTTTGCTTAAAAGATTTCAGGAGGCGGGCGCCTGGGTGGCTCAGATGGTTGGGCGTCTGCCTTCGGCTCAGGTCATGATCCCAGGGTCCTGGGATTGAGTCCCGCATCGGGCTCCCTGCTCAGAGGGGAGCCTGCTTCTCTCTCTGCTTCTCTCTCTCTCTCTCTCTGTCTCTCATGAATAAATAAATAAAATCTTAAAAAAAAAAGATTTCAGGAGGCAAAATTATTATTCTGTACTTTCCTACAAAAATTATTTTAGGAGGGAAAAACCTGTATGTCAGTGGTGTTGGGGGTCAGGAGAGTCAGGTTTAGGACACGGCCTACCCCCATGCCCTGTTTGATGTGGAGGGGTCCCCCAACATCCTGAGCTTCAGTTCCCTCCTCTGCAAAAGCGGGGATGCAGGGTCTACTGCAGAGTGTGCTAAGGGGGCTGGAAATAAAAAAGAGAGAGATACCCCTCCCCAGCAAGGGTCCCATATCACCTGTCTCTAACTGATCCCATTCACCTGATGGGGTCACTGAGGCTCAGGGGGGCCCAACATTGGGAGGGAAGATGAGGCTGAAGCTGGAGTAGCTCCCTGGCCTCAAGATGCTCCCTGTCTGAGGGAGGAGGAGACACCACAATTCAGAGGCTGGAGGTCTCTGTCTTCTCCCAATCTAGGGGTTTCTTGGGGCCTAATAAGCAAGGGCTGAGGTTTCTTACAGGCCCTGCTTGCTCTGCGTGAGGGCAACAGAGGGGGGCAGCAGAAGGTAGCTGCGGAATGAATGAAGGTCCACGGAAGACATACAGATGGCCAACAGGTAGATAAACCATGTGCAACATCACTCATCATCAGGGAAGTGCAAATCAAAACCACAAGGAGATATCACCTCAGTTTGAATGACTATCATCAAAAAGACACAAGACAGGGGCGCCTGGGTGGCTCAGTTGGTTAAGTATCTGCCTTCGTGATCCCAGGGCCCTGGGATCGAGCCCCACATCAGGTTCCCTGCTCGGCGGGAAGCCTGCTTCTTCCTCTCCCTCTGCCTGCCGCTCTCCCTGCTTGTGCTCTCTCTCTCTGTCAAATAAATAAATTTATTTGACAGAGAGAGAGGGTACAAGTAGGGGGAGAGGGAGTGGGAGAGGGAGAAGCAGGCTTCCTGCGGAGCAGGGAGCCCGATGCGGGGCTCGATCCCAGGGCCCTGGGATCATGACCTGAGCTGGAGGCAGACGCTTAATGACTGAGGCACTCAGGCGCCCCATAAATAAAATCTTAAAAAAAAAAAAAGAACTACAATATGATCCAGCCATTCCACTTCTGGGTTTTTATCTGGAAATGAAAACACTAACTGAAGATATATCCGCCCCCATGTTCACTGCGGCATCATGTACAATGGCCAAGATACAGAAGCAACCTAAGTGTCCAGGGGCGGAAGAATGGAAAAAGAACATGTGGCATATATATATATATAATGGAATATTATTCAGCTATAAAAGAAGGAAACCCTGCCATGTGTGACAATGTGGATGGGCCTTGAGGGCATTATGTTAAGTGAAATAAGTCAGAGAAAGACAAATACCATAGGATCTCTTGCACACATGGAATCTAAAGCAAAACAAAACGGAATTCATAGACATGGAGAACAGATTGGTGGTCACCAGAGGCAGGGGTTGGGGGGTGGGTGGAATGGGGGTCAAAAGGTACAAACTTCAGTTATAAAATAAATAAGTCCCAGGGATGTCATGTACCGCATGGTGATTATAGTTCATAATACTGTATAATGTACTTGGAAGTTCCTAGGAGAGTAGATCGTAAAAGTTCTTACAAGACATAAGGTTTGTACTTCAGATGGTGAAGGAAAGTAGCTAGACTAATTGTGATCATTTCACAATATATACAAATATCAAATAATGATGTTGTACACCTGAAACCAATATAATGTTATATGTCAATTATATCTCAGAAAAGAAGAGGAAGAAGAAGAAGAAGAAGAAGAAGAAGAAGAAGAAGAAGAAGA